CTTCTCCTATCGACTACTGGCTACGAACTGTGTATGGTCTAATAGTCGCAATCGTCCTGTGAGATCCTTAACCGTCCAGATCTTACAGTGAATTTCCTCCAAAACCACCAGGTTTCAAACACCGACGTGGATCTATTTCACTCCGACTGTCTGCCTATCCCTGTCAGAGAAGATGAACTACAGTGAGTGAAACAGAAAACGAGGAAGTGAGCTGACGAGGAACACAGTGCCCGGTTATTAACCAAGTAACATTACAGGCTTACACAAAAGACAACCTGAATAGTACAGCATGAAGTTAGAATGGGTAGATCTCAAGCACACGTGAAGAAACCAGGCAGAATGATGCGGCTCTGGTGTTACCCGCCAAAAGGTTTATGGCTAGGATCAAGTCCTAACTTCTCGATTACTCCCATCTGTCCTAGGGCAACACGATGGCAGCACAAACTCGTATATCCTTCGTTTAGCTGTAACACCCTTCTGGTGCCTAGATGCCATGCCAACCGAAGGAAGCACGAGGGCTGATATACTGCGAGGTTGTTCAAGTCTAGACAAGGGAAGTCGAGAGAGAGAGAGGTCGGGTTCGAACCAAGGACCTTCCGGCCAGTAAATTCGCGCTCTAACCACCTATTATATCCTTGGGGTTGTTAGACGACAAAACGATTCTGTAGCTGAACGATATGAGGTTTGTTATGTACAAAAGTGAGTTCGAGTACACATCTGAAGCAGATACCTACCAATTGTTACACCTAGATTGTTGATATCAACAGGATGGAAAACTTAAAGTTGATGGTATAGCGAACGTCCGATCAGTCCTGTTTCACAATGACTTGCAATGCTGAAACAAGGTAATGGACATTGGGCTTGTGGCATAGTTCATGCTCTTGCGCAATAAATAAATACCAAAGGACCAACGACATAAAAGTAATTTGAGCATAAATAATCGTTTGCTTCCCTGAAGGTTTTCCACAAGCCCGTAACTCCGGACAATTCGTGTTCTCAAAATATGGGCCCCAAGACACAAAAACATTACTATGCTTCAGTCAAGTGTACCAACCAAGGTTTCTACGCATTTCTGTCATACCAACTGCCTGAACATTACGGTCAAACACATAGAGTGAAGTCATTGGTTCCGCTGAAGTAATCGAAGTCCGTATATTGCTCGGTCCTTTCGAACTGCATTTTGGTTGAATAAATAGTCACTAGCTATATGCGTTAAAGGTGAATCGATGGCTAGGTATGTTTCACTGACCAGATGCTCAAAATGACAACTTGGAATATTGTAAGCAAACAACGGTCAATTCTATGGATATCTGATCGGTGCGCTCAAGTTTAGTGGCAGAAACATTCGAGATCACCTGGGACTAGCGCTTAGAAAATCAACTAACACGCTTTCCACGCTTAGCAGAGCAAAGTACACTAATTGCTTTACACCACATGTTACGTCTTGCCACGACGTAGCGCAGAATGGGAATGTACAATTAGGTGGCAAGACGTGAAATCACGTAGCAACATGGATTGGGACAATCCATTGATAGGCACGCCTTCATTAGCTTCAAGGCATAAGGTTTAAAGTGCTCGGCAGGCTCCAAGGGGCATTCAGTGATGCAGTGAACAAAGTTGATGACCATTTCACTCTTTAACTGGGCAACGTTTCACTTTTGACACAAAATCTTCATCAAGCTTCATCAACGGCTTCAGCCTCCTATGCTATGTAGAGTTAGAGAAGATGGCCTAGCCAGTTGAATAGTGAAACGGTAGGGGTGAGGGGATAGTAGATCGGTGCTATACGGTTCTGTCAACTTTGGAGAATAGGACTTGGACAAACCAAAGTTAAAGGCGACAAGTTGAATGCTGTGGTGCCGTTGTACGTCTGACTGAACCATATACATCCGTGGCGATAAGCAGTGGCGTATATCGACCTCCCTAGCCGGTAGGACGGCAGCTACCAGCAGTCGGTGCCCCCATGTTCCGTTGTCAAAACATTAACTTACGGCTGTGGAGTAGTTTCCACCGTGAACACATCTTGATAGCAATGGGACTTACACTAAAGAGAAGTAGGTGGCCAATCCAGCATCTTATATGGACTGTGACAAGCTGTCCACCCATGATCTTCTCATTAAAAAACCTGAGACGTCGACATTTTCCATCCTCATTTCCCCACCAAACCTTGGTTTGGCATCAAAGATACCCATGACCAAACACTTAAAGGTTTCGTACTCTTATGGCGCAGCGGGTGAATTTACGGATTGTATTACAAAAGTGCAGGCAACTTTTGACGCCACACCAGGGTCATATGAGAAGACAGGAGCCAAAATGCTGGTTGTGGAAGTATTATCACTTTACTACGATCCACCATTAAATGCGTCACTGCTCTGTTGCATGGAAAACAAAACTGCTTTCATCAAATGATAACTCTGCATGTGTGTCACGTAAACGAGCTACCACAATTTAACCGATATCGCCAGATGTCTCAGTAGTTCACCGAAGATAGTGGAGTGGCATGCCTCATAGTGAAGGAAAGCGAAACTCCAGGTGTCCTCGCACTGTGGCGTGATCAAAACCAAGCTGTGTGCCCCAGAAGGAAGGGCATCTTTGAAGTGTGGTTGTCCACCGGTACTACCACCATGTGATACAATTTGGTGGACGGTTGGTTTGCACTTGGCGGCCACCTAGTTAAGCGACTCGAGCGATTCTTACTAACCAGAAACAGTTGATGATCAGCACGCAGCTGGTGGAGTCGATCCCCGTTGTTTGTGGGACGGGCATCGACTGCAAATCGACCAACCAGGTTTGGTCCCAGTAAAAAAAATCGTTCAGCTTTAGCACCCTTTCAGTGCCTAGCTATCATGCCAGCGGAGGGAGGCACGAAGGCCGGGTTACTGCCAGGTTGCCCAAGCCTAGACAGGAGCAGCCGAGACGCTGAGGTTGGGTTCGAACCATGGACTTCCGGTCCGTAAGCTGACGCCTTAACCACTGAGATATCTCGAGCCCCATGTTCCAGCGTCCCAGAGAGCTCAAACGACTAACCTGGGCATTCACACCACCCGCAAAGATGACAATGTCAGTGCTTCTTGCTTGACAAATGAGCCCGGATAAATATCGACGGGAGGTATCCTCAGCTCTAGAGATGCAGTCCATTTGGCATATGCCGACAAACCCAAACAGGTCGATTAGGATTGAACTTGACTGAGATGGATAACGAAACAATGCAAAGACGACCGTTCACTGGAATCCAAGTGCGTTCAGCTCTGGGGTCGAATGCGGCATCCACGCCATATAGTAATCCCTTCTAGATCACCGGACACAACCAGTGAAATGTGAAAGAACCGAGTTCATCCTTGGCATATAAAACCCATCACCACAGCATACACCAATTCTAAGTGAGCACAAGGTCTGGGTGAGCATTGCCTGTTTACCAATTCGATGTAGCGTACGAACGTTGAAGGCTTTTATGCAGAAAGGATCTCGTGGATTTAACAGTGCTATTTTATTTAGTGATGATGTGCAACGGAGTGTATAAGGCACATCGGTCAGATAACTGACAATCAAGTGACCGATATGTGTGCATGCAGGGAAGGAGTATGAGAGGGACATCGGTTGACAAAGTACTGTGCAGGCAAATGATACTCCCCAGCCTCCAAGGCCGAAGAAGCGGGTTTGATTGAAGTACCTCGCCGTAGCAAGCGTAGCTAACCGGACCGTTGCGGCATTCAAACCCGACCACCACGTCAAATGGCAGTCTTAGATAGAGAAATATTTGTGACAGGTCCCGTTGTTTCACGGTTTTATTCGAGTTTTACTGGGTGAGACGAAGATTGTTCGTTTCTTATAACCTAGACTGTAGGGGGCTGACGAAAACTTTGAAGGTTCACCGAGTTCACCAGTATGCTACAGCCGAAGATTAACAACATCACCAAAAACACCATTAAACTGGTGTACAAAGTAATCTATACAATTACTACTTATCATCCTCCCGTCGAAGAAAACAACTTCATCGAGGGAACACTTGGTTTCTCCTGAAAGTGTTCCAAAGTGGTGGGATGCCGTACAACAAAAAAGCACGGACGACCATTGCGTTATTAAGATATTTCCATAGATGTCACCAGAGAGATCGCCTAGGGACGTATCCAACTGGGCGAACCCAAGCAGAAATCTTGCTGATCGGTGATCCAAAACAGTACAGAATCCAGCGTAATCATCACAGATGGCTTCCGAACCGCGGCTACAATCGGATAGTACATAGAATGACACTACAAAATAAGCAGCGATTAGCATCACCAGTAGCAGCGGAGTTTCGCAGCAGAATAGCACAGATTCGGCTGTTTTCGAGTACCCAAGCAAATAGGAAAGACTCCGCCGTTTTTAGTAGCTGCAGAAAAACCTGAAGATTGTGGTTGACAGCGTCTACACAGCAAAAGCACCGTGAGTTAAATAAGTGCATCAGGATCTTGAATTCGAGTTTTGAAAACACAGCAAGCTTCTGCCAGCAAATTAGTAAAATATTTCCCTACGGCAGATTTCCGGCCAATATGCTTAGGAACCCGCGCGTTACAGGCGACGAAACAGAGACATGACGTGTGGACAGTGGATGCACTGCGGTGGCTATAAGCGGCGCCTTACAGTCGGTCACCTTTTTGGTAACCCGAAAGACGTGATCAGAAATTAGGGCCTGCAGCAGAGTTATTAGGAAGTGGCACCGAGAGGAGGGTGAAGCAATAACAATGAAAAAGAATGGGCAGCGTCCTCAGTCACAGGTTTTCGCTTGGCTGCTTTCTGAATATAACGAAAAGGCGACTCAACTGAAGTCATCTCACGACAACCGAACTATAATTAGTTTGTGTGTGGTCTGTGATACCGTTGGGTGACGAAACCTAAGCAAGCAAGCTGGGATCCTCGAACCAAACATTTGACTCAAAAGCCTGGCCGTGAGGCAGCAGTGTCACCGTAAGAATACCGTGGAGTCAACCAGGGAACAAGTCGCCAACCGAGAGGGTCGGGATATTACATTGGTCTGAACCGTGCTTGCGATCAACCTAGCTCCTGTCTAGGCTTGGACAACCCGATGGTATCACGTCCCCCGTGCTTCCTTCGAGTAACATGCCAGCTAGACACCGAAAGGGAGTTACAGTTGGACGATTATTGTTACTTATTACACGAGGAAACTACCACTTTTTGATATGGATCAAGAGTATGTGAATGTGTTGAATATTTGGAACATTGTCCTCATCTCCTAATGTCACAATAGCTGCTGAAGGACAGCCGGAGGCAAATGAATTTTTAGTCCCAAGCATGCAAAATGGCGCTTGTTGGTCGCCATAGCCACCCCGCTCCCCAACACACAAGAAAACAACTGTTTAAAAGCCCTTTGGTGACATTGAAAAACATTCATTAGCCAAGTGCTGGATGGTGATCACAACTGGAACCAAGCCTACCAAGGAGAGAGCTTAGTGTCCTCGTTGGATGACAGAAAAAATATAAAATTCCCCGATTTTTCGATACCGAAAGCAGTAAAGATAAAACTCACTAGAACGTATAAGCTCCGGCTATAAAGGTAACCAGAAATGTAGTTGGAACAAAACGAAGGCTGTTTGGTCTCCAAAGCATAGCATCGATCAAGTTCATAAGAACTCCGGCTGAGTGCTGCAATCGAAAGGAGACTGGATTCGAACTAGCAAGTACTTACCGACAGATGCATGTACCATGCCGGAAATTTTCCCATATCGCCTTCAGGAACCAACAATTTACTGTCGTACAGAAAGATGCTCCAGAACAGCAAAAAGACAAGCTAACGTGTACCAGATGATTAACAGATGTTGTGAAAGTACCATGGAAAAAGTAAGCGTGGCACAGTGCAGGACTCCGTGTACAGTGTTCAGTTCTAACAACTGAACCGGTGTTGCAACCAAGTAGTAGACCAGCTCGAATACCTGAACAAGGGAACTTCAACGGACGCGAGTGTCGCAACTTACGAGAGTTAGAACAGTCAAATAAATGCTCAATTTTCCAAGAGTTTCGGCGGAGTAGTTTGGGTGACCGAAAAAGAATTGATGTGTAAGGTATAGAGTGAAGACGAGAAGCGACATGGCGGCCATGCGGTAAACAATGGATACGAACAAAGAAGCCATCGTTCCACCGATCGGAAAACCTGCAAGGGAAACGAAAAATGCCCGCTGATGCTCAACAGATGAACGAGATAGACAGCACCAGAAAAAAAAGATTACGCAACTCCACCAACAAGTCAGGGCAAGGCTTAAACACTTCATAATCTACAAAGCGAACTAGACCCGGTAAATCCGGTTTGTCGTACCGTCACTTTGTTTGAAGGGATCATTTGAAGAGATCGACAAAAATGCTGTTCTCGGAGGAATACAGCGGTATAAAAAAACCTCCATGGGATAACAAAAGGTGAGAGGTATGCTTCAAACCAACTGTGTGAACGCTGGTGGCTATACACGGTAGCACCAAAAGATAGCCTCGATAGGTCATTTATAGGTGAAATAGTACGGATGAGTGAAAATTATTTGGTTGTCAGGTAACATTCCTAGATTTCCAACGAACATTCGACTCAGTTGACTGATCTGTCTTTCTGCTGGTCATCAAGTAATGCCTCCAAAGTTTATGAAAATAACAGGTTCTTCGTGTTCTCATACTTCCGGGCGTGTTGGTTGCGACGTGTTGCGTATACCGAACCGTCACTTGCCGAAGGGAGTGTTGTTATCCATGCCCAACCCTTGACTTGGCAGAGGAATATGAAGGTTACCAAACGTTTGTGTACTGTCGATTCTACTCGCCTTCCAGGATGAGGACCGCGTGATCCCCACTGCGCCTGATTGGAGATGTTGCAAAATATGGCTACAAGATATATGGTTCCAAGATATGGCGTTCCTGTTGTCAGTTTCTATCCAGATTACCTGCTCTCACTGCTTCATCCAGTCTAAGGGTAAGACGGAACAACTCGCTGGTATTCCACGGTATGAGTCTCAAGAGTCCAAAGGTGGAACATCAGATATTTTAAGGTTTTTTGCTGACATTATGAGCAGCGCTGAACCCAAATTTAATTGAATAAATGTAGCCTTCAGAGGAGTTGCTCTGACAGAAGTATGACTATCCGGACCAATAAAAACGACAACAGAGCTGGCCAGATAGAGCTGGTGCTATTATCACAGCCTCACGAAAAATTTTTGTTTTCTCTGATTTTAACTTCATTTGCGACTGTATAGTTAAACATTGCCCCTGGGTGGCGCTTCGGTGCCACTTACGTGTGTCGACATCATTCACGGACTGATACACAGGATCAAAGATTTCGCCCAAACTTCCCAGGTCAGGTTTGTACTTGTCATTTCGCGGCTTCCGTTCACCATGTCCGCGCCGTGTTATTTGGTTCGACGGCGAGAAATCTGTTGGCCAAACCATGTTTAAACAGGGCATAAGTATTAGGACTCCTCTGAAGCGACGATACTCCGGGGGCGATAGCCCAAACACCGTGAGAGGCGTTTTAAAATCAACGGACCTAAGAACAACAACTACTTCCTTAGCAACTTGTTGGACACGCCCAATGAGTGTTACGTTTTTCCTGGTCCTGAATAGACAACTTGGCTGGCGTATTCAAGAAGCAGTCTGACGCATACCCCACAGAGTATCTTCAAGTCCACGCGAGTAATACGGGGGAAGGTTCTTTTGAACCAATTTATCATGATGTAGTGAGAAGTACTTGATTGGTGAGAGTCAAATGCCCAAATTCTTTTTAGTATCTATGCCCCCAATGTTTTCTGGTCCATTCTCACAGATTCGTATCGCGTGGAGGTACAAACCGTGTAAATCACCGGAGATTACATAACAAAAAGGCTACAATTGAGACAAATACGGAATGTGACTGGTACGAACACCTGAAAACGCCGTTGCAGTGCCAAGAAACCGGCATAACGATACAACTTTTCCATGAACTCCTTATGGGTCCCAAATGAAAAGTGGGAAAGTTATGAGGATATCGATATTCGGCAGGCAGGAGATGAAGCCCAGAAGACCTCCGACATCCCAACCATGACAACCGACTCCTAGGAGGGAATTGCGCGGCGACATGCGCTCAACGGCCCTCGCAGCTCACATATAGGCGCCGCAACGGCCAACAAGCCTAGCGCGCACGTGATTGGTCAGAAGAACGGGGCTCTTCCTGATCGAGTACCGGGCTGAAGAGATTGGAAATGTGGACTGAAAAGCAGTTTTCTTTCCGATATACGGTGCCGGCCGGCACCCAGTCATGGATCCGTACAGCGCCCGGAACTCCTGAAGCCAATCTCCAGAAGCGCACCGCGAATTTCACTGAAACCATAGGTTGAACGAAGGAAAATTTAACACAAAGTTTTAGCATTCAATGGTATTTATTCGAACATTTTCAGTCTCTCCTTTTGGCCACAGTTTTGTTGAAAGTTGTTTAAAGGTACTCATGGTACAATATGGATGCGGCTATCAATTTCTATGCATAATGTCTACATGAATGTGTAGGG